CCCCCCCCCCCCCCCCCCCCCCCCCCCCCCCCCCCCCCCCCCCCCCCCCCCCCCCCCCCCCCCCCCCCCCCCCCCCCCCCCCCCCCCGCGCCCCCCCCCAGTACTGATAAGAGGATTATATTATTTGAAAGTGAAACTAAATATTTTTTTATCTTTTCAGGTATATCATCTACGATAAAGGATTATCATTTACCGGTAATTCGTCGTTATTTTCTTAATGATTTATTACCCAAATATAAATTACACGAATATTATACAATAAATGTTGAAAAAACGGTAGAAGAATTTCGAAAATTATTATCAACACTAGAATGTCCACTTGTACCTTATAGTGAAGAAGATCATTTAATTCAAATTAAACATGGAAATTATGAACGATTGAAATCAACAGTTGATTTAAACTTGGGTATGTTTCATCAACTTGCTACAAACTTCAGTCTAAGTCATTTTGTTCTCTCTATTTCTAGCTGCTCAAGTTTATTATTATAAACGTTCTGGTCCATCATCGAGTGACGATATCGAACAAGCATGTGAATCACTCTGTGATCGCCTCGCCTATTTAAACCATATAATTTATGATAAAATTCAAGAGCATTTAGTTCGAGCTGTGGACAATACATTGGCTGCATGCCGATATCATTTTTTTGCCTACGACGGTCCAAATTTTGAACGTATCACATTGCAAACACCGTTTGTTGGCAATTATTTTGCTTATCCAAATGGTGAATTTAAACATCCAGATGAAATTCAAAAACTAATTGAAACGGATGCTACATATCAGTCGTATTGTATGGCGCACAATGGATGGGTAATGAATGATGATCCATTAAGAAATTTTGCCGAAGAAGGTCAAGATGTTTATTTACGGCGAGATTTATTGCAATGGTCGGATATTATTAAATTAAGATTTGGGCAAAAATATGAAGATTCACCGGCATTATGGGATTATATGAAAGAATACACAAGATTAGTAGCAACAACGTTTCACGGAGCAAGATTAGATAATTGTCATTCAACACCATTGGTTGTAGCGCAGGTACGTACAATGCATACACCTCTAGTTCTGTGGTTTGAAATTATCTCTTATCCATACAAAGCTGAAGTATGTGAATTTTGATTTTCTAGACATTGATGGATTATGCTCGAGAATTAAATCCAGAATTTTATATATTAGCAGAATTATTTACGGGTAGTGATCAAACAGACATATTATTTGTAAACAAATTAGGCATCAATTCACTTGTCAGAGGTAAGATACTCACAAGTTGTCTTTTCATGCAGGAAAAGAAAATAGAACTGTGGATGTATTTTTAAAGTGCTATCTTCACTACGGTTCTGTTTTTGGAAGCTGAGAAATGTTCAAAAAAAGATCCTACAGCTGAAGTCTTTAAGTGCTTGATCATTCTTTGACTAATAAATGTAGCCTTCTCAGCAATTTTTGTTTGTATTTTTCTTTCCAAAAAAGAGAGCATGCATGCGTGGGATCCGTATGAATTAGGCCGTTTAACTGCTCGTTTTGGTGGTGATCCAATCGGTTCATTTTTTCAACCATCTATTCGTCCAATATTACCGCAAATGACACATTCGTTTTATTATGATCAAACCCACGATAATCCGTGCCCCATCGAAGTAATTAGTCTTCTCAAATAACTCTTCCCCGTTTTCACTCTATCTGTTTTTAGCGTCGCAGTGTGCAAGATGTGCTACCTCGTTCGGCTTGTGTAGCAATGTCATGTTGTGCCAATGGATCAAACAGAGGCTACGATGAACTTGTACCTCATCATGTAAGCAGGAGGGAGATATGGTGTTTAATAAATAGTCAATTATTTATTTTTATATCACCTCGTAGATTGATGTTGTTCACGAGCGACGTTTCTATCCTAAAGGAGGCAATGGCGAACAAGAGTCAAATGAATCAACTGGTTTGATACCGGCGAAGTTAATATTCAATAAATTACATTATACATTATGTAGGAAAGGTTATGATCAGGTTAGTTTAACAAGCTACCAATACCAGAATCTTGCGATCGTTCCATTGGATGAAGAAAAGTGTGCTTAAAAAAATGAGACGTTTCAGAACTCTCTAAGATTTTTAGTGAAGGACATATTGCACAGATATTCAATATTGTTCTTTAAAAAGTTTTATTTTCTTAAACAATATATGCTTTCGTTTTATTGCTCAATCTCCATATACAAGAATCATAGAGAGCTCTAAAATTTGCTATTCTGTTAAGCACTTCTTTCCACAAAATGAGACAATCGCGAGCTCCAGTCGTTTTATCGTTTGGAAAACATAAAGCTGGAAAAACTAGCATAAAAAGTGTCTCAACTATATTACGCGCATCGGATATGACAAAATAATAAAATTTTCATCTTCTTTAGATGTTTGTTGACCAACTTTCAACCGCGGTACTAGTTATAACTCGTCATAATCCACATAACCATCAATCTTTGATTCTTGTTGCGCATACAGCATTTTGGCAACCAAAAGATACTTGGGAACAAATTAAACCATTGTATATTAATGGTAAGTTGATATTCTTAGTCAACAATCGTCTATTTTTTATCTATCTTCATATTGTAGGTCATATCGACGAAGTTTTGTATGAAATGACTATATCTCATCCAAATGGTGCTGCCGCTGTCAAGAATTTTGAACGTTCAAAATCCTATATCAATGGTTTACAACAAGTAGCAATACAGATTCATGAACATCTACCCGTTGATCAAAGTCAGTGTGTTAATTTGCGTTCGTCAAATCGACGAGAAGACAATAATGATCGTCATATTACATTTGATAAACATTTTCCACCTGGTACTGTAATTTGTTTTAAAGTATCGTTACTTCAAAATGTGCAAAATGCCATTTTTGAAATACGAAAAAGTTTAAATGAATTTACAACTGGAAATTTTACAAGTGAATTTCAACAAATTGTTAATAAGTTAACATTGCTCGATTTAAATCGTGTACTGTATCGTAATTCAAGTGAAGAACAAGCTGATGGATTCGGAATTGATGTTTATGAAATACCGGAATATGGTGAGTTATCGTAACACAATACTTTTAATAAGATGAATTTAATTTGGTTTTTCTATTTAGGTAAACTAGTTTATTGTGGTTTACAAGGTTTTATGTCTGTATTAGAAAAAATTCGTTTATCAAATGAACTGAAACATCCGCTATGTCGACATTTAAAAGATGGTCATTGGTGCTTAGATTATATTTCATCTCGTCTAATAAAACATCGTGGTACACAAGCAATTGGTCAATGGTATGAAAAATGCTTTCGACAGTTGAAACGTTTACCAAAACATTTGGTACCCGTTTATTTTGATTTAATTATCACTGGATCATATACTGTTTTAATTGAACATGCATGGAAATTAATGGGATCATTTGTACAAAATGGTTCAACATTTGTAAGAGCTCTCTCAATGGCTAGTGTCATACTTTGTGGATTAGTTAAAAACGCACAGCTACCAGCATTATCACCAAATTTAAAAGAACCTAAACCAGTATGTTTACCATGAATTCGAAATATATCTGTTGTAAATTACTGTTCCCTATTGATATTTTAGATTGAATTAACCGATGATCAAACACAATTAAAATATCCATTATGTCCAACATTGGGTGCTGGTTTACCTCACTTTTCAGCTGGTGTGTGGCGAAGTAAGTTTAGTAACACTATTATCCTCAATAATTATTTGTTATCATCAATTCATTATTTAATTCAACATTTGATTATTTTAGATTGGGGACGAGATACATTTATTGCATTAAGAGGACTCATGTTAGTAACGGGAAGATTTCAAGAAGCGAGGTGAGACATTTATTACTTTCTCAAGAGAATAGACAAAACGCAACAATATACTTTGACGTTGTTCTCATGAATTTTTTCTCTATTATACTCAGATATTTAATACTCGGGTACGGTCAATGTTTACGTCATGGTCTCATACCCAATTTATTAGGTGATGGTCGTATAGCACGTTACAATTCAAGAGACGCTGTTTGGTGGTGGTTATATTCGATTGGAGAATATATTCGTATGTCACCTCATGGAAGCGAAATTTTAGAAGATAAAGTTAGTCGTTTGTATCCGACACATGATTCACAACCACAGCCACCTGGTTTATATGATCAACCTTTACATGCTGTTATACAAGAGGCCCTATTAAGACATGCACAATCGTTGACATACCGTGAACGTGATGCTGGCTTCAATTTAGATATGGATATGTCAGATGAAGGATTTAATAATCAACTTGGAGTGGACTTTGAAACCGGTTTTGTTTATGGTGGAAATGTGCACAATTGTGGGACGTGGATGGTACGAATGTGGTAACCAATAAAGAATATAAAATATCTGAAAACGATTTTTTTAGGACAAAATGGGATCGAGTGATAAAGCTGGAAACAAAGGAAAACCCGGTTCACCTCGTGATGGTTCAGCTGTTGAATTAGTCGGTTTGTGTCGTGCCACACTTAAATGGCTCATTGAAGAAAATAAAAAAGGTCATTATCCGTATGACGGTGTTAAAATTTCCATATCCACTTCTCAGTCGTCAATAGCTTCATCGTCGATCAATGAAATTAAATTTCAAGAATGGATGGATAAAATCGATTCAAATTTTGAAAATTTTTTTTGGATTAATGAACTCGATCAATCAAGCCATTTTATTTATCGTCGACAGATCTATAAAGATACAGTGAATTCAACGTTACAATGGACTGATTATCAATTGAGACCAAATTGGTTGGTAACATGTGTCGTAGCACCGGAAATGTTTAAAGCTGATCATATTTGGCAAGCATTGAAACAGATTGATAGTATTCTAGTCGGAAAATATGGAATTAAAACGTTAGATCCCAGGTAAATGATATTTATTTTCAATTAAATCTTTGATAATAATTATACCATTTCTTTTTCTAGTGATTTGAATTATGTTGGTGATTATGTGAATGATGATGATTCATCGGATTTTAAACGTGCACATGGTTATAATTATCACAATGGACCAGAATGGTTATGGTTAATGGGTTATTATTGTCGAGCAAAATTATACTGGGCATCTGTGCTAGAAAAAGACTCAACAATAAAAGGAATATTGAAACAAACGATTAAACACGTTCAAGATATTTTAACTGCCCATCAACAACTCATTTTAGCGACAGATTGGAAAGGTTTACCCGAATTGACTAATGCCAATGGACAACATTGTTTATATTCATGTGAAATTCAAGCATGGAGTATGTCAACATTACTGGAAACAATGTACGATTTGGATCATTTGCATTTATAAACAACAAATGCAGAGCATTAGAAACAACAATAGTTCTGTTGAAACTTTGTAGACAAGTAGTTTTTCTGAATATACTATTTTTCGTTAGAATTTAATTTTAACATAGTTTTCTCCTGTAGATTTGTTTCACTCTATGGATATTACATAAAAGCAGTCGATCTCTCTCTTTAAGAAAATGAATTTTCATGGTGTATGTTTCGACACTTCTCTTTCTATCTGTTTTTCATTTAATCACAACGAACTGTGAGTTTTCCCTTGCCTTTTCGATATACAAACATTCATACGAATGTATTTGTTCGAGTTCTCTAGATCTTTTTACATATGTCTTTTGTTGCTAGTTCAGATCTTATTTGTTCTCGGTATGTGTGTTTTTTGGAAATAGTTTTTTACAGCATGCTGTTAAGAATAGTTTTTTTATAAAGTTATTTATTTGCGTTCAGTCATGCGCTCTTCTTTTACGAAAAAATACATGAAATGTATTTTCATTTCTTCTTGTTCGTTTTTTAAGATAGCAATTTTAGCAAAAGAAATAGCAATTTTTTAAAAAGATAGCAATTTTAGTTTTTCATTATAAAAATTTATTCAAAATTTGGTGCAATATCTATTGTCTTGTGACAAAAAATTCATGTGCTACAGAGTCCTGGTAGTTATTGAAAATAAAAATGGTTGAGGTAACGGTCCTAAACTACGGTGTGTACAAAATTCAACCGCCCAGTGTTTGTACTTTAATTATTGATAATTTCAAAATGTTTATGATTTTTTTTTCATTCTAGACTCGTGATCTCTCTCTTCCGTTCGTTCTCGTTTATGTCTCAGATTCTGTAAAATGTCTGAGAGTTCTAAAACATCAATTGAAAACAGTACATCAGATTTATCCCATCAGAATCATCTTCCTCGACCAAACAATCAACAAAAAGATGCTGATAATCCACCATTTAGTCGTTTATTTTTACTGGTACCACGAACAATGAACGAATCAGAATTAAACGATGTATTTAAAAAATTTGGTGTCATTGAAGATGTTTGGTTGGTTAGAGATAGAAGAAATAGAGAAGGAAAAGGTAGGAGAGCACTGATAGAGGCTTTAAAAGTGTACCGATGAGACATTTATTCTGAACTCTGCATGAATTTGATAGACTGAGTTAAATAACACTATAGATAAATCTTTAATGACGCATTGATCTTCTTTTAGGTATAGCCTACATAAAATATGAATTAGCATCAGAAGCAGCTCGTGCACAAGAAGAAATGAATGGAAAAATAATTGGTTCACATTCTCGACCGTTGAAAGTAAGGACATTTACTTCTTAACAAAGAAGAATTTAATCGTTTCATTTATTCTGCAGGTAATCATATCGAGTTCTCGACGTGAAGGAAGCGTCCGTGATCCCGATGAACATGAAAAAATGTTAAGATTATTTGTGTTAGTGCCAAAGAATTATTCAAAAGAAGATCTACGAAAAGCATTCGAAGTGAGTGGTGGTTAATATGAAAAATATTGATAATGAATAACGTGGACTTGTTTGTGTATAGAAATTTGGAACAATTAATAATGTTAAAGTTGTCACAGATAAATTGACGGGTGAAAATAAAGGATTTGGTTATATAACTTTTACCAAAGCATCGGAAGCAGCCCGAGCACTCGAACAGTGTGATCCAGGTAAGAAGATACAGTACAGCGAGTACAGCAGCGTTAGCTCGAAAAATACTCTCTCATCGGTCGACATACTCGAGAAAGCTATACTCATTTTCACTGCATCCTCAACTGAAGAAGCTACTTATAAACTGTTACTCTGGCTATTTCGTTTTTCAACGTTAACCATTTTATCTAATGTGTTGTTTAAGCATTCAAACCAAAGTTCGCTGAACCATTAACATCGAAACGTCATCGTGATCGTGAAGAACGTGAAGAACCAAATTCTCCATCATCGTCATTAATATTTACAACAAATCCTTCTTCTCCTTCAAATTCTACATCATCTCGTCATACTCAACATTCATCTCCACCCGTAGTCATCGCCGAACAACGAGATCACCGCTCAAATAATTTATTACAAAAACAAACATTTATAAATGAATCAACAAGTTAGTAGTGTCTTGTGTATGTTTTATTGAATTCAGTTAAAGTCACTTAAGCTTTTCTCCCTGGCTCTTGAAGACTCGGTTTTCTGGAAAACCATTTTTTCAAGAACTCTAAAAAATAACCAAAACCTTTCTTAACGAGGCATAATTGTAGCGCGCACATTTCTGATCAAAATGAGGCATCTCACAGTTCTACACGACCTTTCTTTGCAAAGTTATAGATCTTACAAGAAAAACCCTAAATATTCATTGTCAGCTCAAAGCTACAGAAATAAGAAGAAATTAATTTAAAACTTTTTTTTGTAAATTCTATAACTTTGCAAATTAAGGTTGTGTATAGCTGGGAGCTGTCTCATTTTAATCAGAAACTTGCGCGTTACAATTATGCCTCGTTAAGAAAAGTTTTGGTTATTTTTTAGAGTTCTTGAAAAAATGGTTTTCCAGAAAAGTGGGTCTTCAAGAGTCATGGGAGAAAATGCTTTATGCCATCGTAATCAGCTCATCGAGTCTACAAGGATATGTCCCATTGAAAAGTGAGAGTAACATTTGGGACCTTCCTCGTTAGACTAATTCGAAGACAATAGGAAACTACTTGGGGCAAAAGAAAGACATGAGTTTTGCTGCATTGCTGTGTCAATTTCAACCATAGGCAAAACTATATTCTCTTTCCTTCAAACATTTAGATCTTCCAAATTTTGTTTCTTCTTTACCAACACCGTTGTCGCGTCCTCCCACTTCGATGTATCCAAATTTATTAGAATCAAATACAGAACGACGACTCATTGTCAGATGTGGTACCAGTATCAATCTTTATCATATTTCAAAATTATTCGATTTAGTTCCGGGCTTAGAAGAATGTTCACCGATTAAATTGCAAACATTCAGAGATCGTATGTAGATAGTTTTCTTTAGGGGTCATTCTACGTAACGGTCGCCTTTTATGTTTAAATTTCGAAAAAAAAGTTATTTTCATTTGGGTTTTTTTCCTATTTGTTGCAATAGTTTTTAGGTTTTAAGCGCATGATTAAATAGTGAAATGTTTGAAGATCACGATGATGCCATTTTAACTTAACTCTCGCTCATTCTTGAAGAAAAAAATCGAACTGCGAAGCATAGTTATTGTAAAATGTGTGATGTTGTAACGATGATATTTTAGCTGTTTAAGCGTTAATTTTGGCGCTATAACAAAGTTCTTTTTCTAATCCATAGTTCATGAACTTTTCTACAACATTTTCAGCAAAAGCTTTCACGTAAAGAACGAAGATTAGTTGAGTTTTTTATAACTTCGAATTACTTCGAAATGGGACCATTTCATTTTTGACGATTTCGTAACAATCGATATTTTTCTTGCAAAACTCGAACCATACATTCAAATTAACTCGAACTCTTAGCGATTGTAGGTTGGTGAGCACATCGCTAGGCAGATTTGATAAAAACTTAAACTTCTTATCTTGTGAACTGACAAAGAAATTACAGTCAGAAGCTGAAAAAACGTGATTCTGCTACGATTATTTTGACCGTTGTATCGTCATATGAAACAATCGTCTCTGTATATGAACATTATTTTGTTTCATACAAGAAGGAAAGAATAAGAAAAATATTCTTTCTTTTCTGCACGAAAAATAAATTAAAAAGAAAAATCTGCTTCCTTCTTCCTCCTTAGGTCTCACAATAAAAATGCATCATTTCAGACTTACTTTTCCAACCTAAAATCTACAAAAGCACATGCATGAAATTTGTAAGAACAGTAGTGGAAATTATACGAACAGTTTTCTGTTTGCAAACACATGTATACAATATGTTTTGCATAGATATTGAGAAGAAATGAAATAGAAAAAAAGTCTGCCAGGAATGGGGATCGAACCCATGCTCACTATTGTGAATTGGATCTTAAGTCCAACGCCTTAACCACTCGGCCATCCTGGCTACG